TCTTTACACACACACTTAATCTCAGGCACACTCCCTCCTCCTTCAGGCTCCACTCTAAGTTTCCCTCAGCAGAGTCTTGGGCATTAGATTTTATAAAAGTAAATAATTCAATTGAAAGATACAGCAGCAGGGTCGGACCAGGCTGAGTGCTTCCAGAGAGGGACATTAAATAAAGAAATCCCTGGGCAATTATGCCTTTGCAGTCTATACACTTTGTGTATAGAGCACCGTGACGTGCTCTTCATGTGTCTTTTAGTCCAATGGTGGGGTCTTCTGACACCGTATTAGATTCTTTTTCTGTGCCCGGTGTGCCGTTGACTGCCCTTACCTTGTTGATATGCTTTCTGTGCTGATGGTTGTAACCTCCTTATCTTCTAGTTTAGGCTTCTTGTGCACCTGTACTCGCTGGCAGAACATGGGGAGCTGAAAAGTTACAGACTTAGGGAAAACACTACCAAAACATTAGTGTGTTACCCACATTTTCCTTATACTGAAAGACTAAACACAGCACTGTACCAGCTGATAGGAAAATTACTAAGAAAGCAGATTATTGCAACCTAAAGGTTTCAGTAAGTGTACTCATACTAACTAGAGCTAGGCAAACAGTGTACATCACACCATGTTATAACCCTAAGTAATTTATTATAATTAAAGCTTACTTGTTTAAGCTAAATAACTAATATCTCTAACAAAAAAGCTGTTTGTAAGCATGTGGAATATAATAGTTGAGGAAAAGAGAGCATCACTTTGTCAAGGACAGATGTTGAACTAACCTGACTTATGCCACTGATAGGCCTACTTTATACAAGAGGATCAGTTGATGTCTTATATTTAGTCTTTATAGGACTTTTGATTCTGTTTCTCAGGATGTTTTTGCTGGGGAAGAACAGTTACGAACAGCTACAGTTGCGATTAAGGAGACCCCTGTCAACTTCTTTTCAGTATTTTTACAAGGAGTTTCCAAAATGAAATAATGTTATTATTGAATTTAAGAAGGCACAAAGCTAGGAGGGATTGCAGACCTTTTTGAGTGTGGTAGTGGAAATACATACATACATACATACAAAATGCCATGAAGATTCAGAAGCCTGTGAGAGGAGAAAAGGTACAAATGAGTAGAGTTTTGTGCCTGTGCTTAAGCAGAAGCAGTCAACTTCACAAATACAGGATAAAGAGTGTTGTGCTTCTTATGGGGAGAGAATTTGGAGGGCTGAATTTGTAAAGGGAACATCATGCAGGTTCTGCTTCTTTGTGTACATTTCAGTAAGGCTTGTGAAGCAATGTTCTCCGCAGTTCATACCTTCTCCAGCATTAGCTGGGATACTGCAGTTCCATCTCAGTGCAGGAGGGTGAAGATAACATGGGGAGAGTGTCAACGGCAGCAGTAGGAAATCTGCAGGAAGTGCTATGTTAGACTGACTGGGAAGGGTTGAAGCACCAATTACATTAGTTTGCAGAATTGAACAATCTGCTGGTAAAATGCTTACCCACAAAGTTTGGAAAGAAGAAAACCGTGATACAGGCGGATCTGAGATTTCTGATTAAAGGGGCATTGGAGAGACCAAGGTACTTTCTTCACAGATATGCTCTACTCTTTTCAGCCCTTCTTTAAGAATGTAGTATTGGAGTGTCCTTGTTGTTAAATGTGGTGCTATATAATAGCCCTAAGAAAGTGTGGCTTTTTTAATTCTCTGCTGTTTCATTTAGTAACTTGAGTATTTCTGTACCAGGCAGAGTAGTTAGTTCATTTGTAATGTAAATGGTCATGAGTGTGGTTAGTCTTGAGGTTGGCAAGGTAATGTAATACTGTTGATAATAGGGCGTCTCCAAGGGAATTAAGTGTGAACTGAGGCTTTTATGGTGCTTGTAGAGAGTTATTAGATGTGTTTGGATTCTAGAGGATTTCACATCAGAATTTTGAAATGTATGTCCTATATGGGCGTAATCAAACTCTCCACTACAAAAAAAGCTTACAAGTTTTGTCCATGTCTGAAACAAAGCAGGAAAACCCAAAGACTACACAAGAGCGCATCCTTGTCTTCCAGTGCCAGTGTTTCAGCTTTTAATCTTATTTTTGTTGGTCTGTTACTGCCTTACTCTCCAGAAATGGACTATGCCAATAGATACTCTTCCCTTTAGAGTTAGGAATGTCATTACATTTTTTCATTGCTTAGTGAGAGCATCTTCTAAGCTGTTAGAAGGCTGTGCATCACAAGAGAACTCTTCTGAAGTAGTTCATTGATCTCAGGAGAACATTCTTTAGGGGATCAGGATTTTCAGACAGCTGATATTAGGGAGCTGTGTGCTGTTAATGAGAATCCTGTCTAAATAAAATGAAGAAGCAGAATTATGGATTAGGAACATGGCTTTATACTCTGCAGAAATTTATTTTAAGGTCTGATACAAATAATTCTAGTAGCACGGGTCCCAAACACAGCCCTCCTGTTAGGCAAGATTTAGTTCACAGTAGGAGTTACTCTCAAGCATTGCATTTCTCACTGTGTGGATTGTTTTCCATTTAAGTAATTTATGCTGAGAGTTTCTGTCCAAAACTTTGAAGTGTAATTTTGAAAATGTGTATGTATTATTTCAAAACAACTATATTTGTCATCAGTTGCAGTATCATAAAAATTAGGCCTTTCCTTATGTTTTTTCAGACTAAAGTAAGAACCAGGTGAAGAACAGAAAAATGTGGTTTATTTAGATAACTGCAAAGTTGCTTTTGGCTTTGAAAGTGATTTAAGTTGTGGTAGGACTCTAATTCCCTCTCTGTTTTAGCATATTCAGTACATGTTTGTGAACATGTTTTTTGGAAGTTTCCTCATGCTAGTAACAGAGTGGAGCATCTTGCACAAGCACTTTTCACCTTCTGTTTTGATAGCAGCTTTTCAGGTGTGACTGCAGAAAAAAAATGTATAGGTGTTACTAATGGAAGGTATGCTGTATAATTTTTTTGTTTACATAGCATAAGGTGTGGCTATAATGAGCAACCAAAGCTTCGTATGTCAGATGGTACTGCCTTAATAAAGTCCATATATAGTATATACATGTATTTTTTATGGAATTTCCTACTATACTATCAATACAAAACACTCTTGTTTTCTGAGGAAACAAGAATGGTACCATAAAATAGACAAGGACTTGCTTAGAATAAGTAATTGAGAAATAAGTTAAGTATCCTGCGTTCAGCATTTACGAATGATCTGGCCAAAATGTAGTACAGACAGATTAAGGGGATACATTGACCTAACAGGAACGCTAGTGATTTGAGAAACACATTAGGTGAAAGGCAGAATATAAAAGGTAAGTGTAGGCATCTTTGATAAGAAACAGCAAGGTAACTCAAGCTATTTTCAGAATATGGGATGCTCTGTGTCTAACAGCTGATATGGAGTAAACTGACTGCTCTTACTATTTGGAAATTAAATATGAAAGTAGCAAAATGAGGGGAAACAAATCTTCAGGGAAGAATCACAGAAAAATTGTTCTGTGTGTCCTTAAGGAAATAATGCTGTAACAAACTGGAATTTTTTAGTGAAAATAAGTCAGTTTTCACTGGTTAGCGCCCTTATACATAACAGATCTGCCTAAGCAATATATTGAGATATTAGTGAAGGAGATAGTTCGCTTTAACATATTATAAAGGGATTTTAAAATAAATTGAAGGAAATTTTAGTAGTAGCATTTCTTTTAATCTCTGAAGTTCCAGTGAAAAGTTAAAGCACTAAAAATACAACAGTGGGGAAGCAGTAGCAAAAACTATTTGAGTTAAATCAAACCATCTAAAGTGGTGACCTTGATGGAGAAGCAAGTTAACCTGACCAGAAAACCTTATTTTTTAATACTTTTAAAATATTTTTTAAAAAATAAAAATAAAATAAATAAATTAAATAAATAAAATAAATAAAAATAATAAATGATAATATAATAATATTATTAAAATAATAAATATTTATATATAAATAAAGAAATATTATCTATATATAAATAAGTATTAATAAATATTATTAAAATAATAAATGATAGTATAATATATAATATAATAATGATATAATAATATAATATAAATAAAAATAAATAAATAAAGTAAATTAAAAATAAAATAAAAAGAAAATAAAAATATTTTTTAATTTTTTATTTTAAAAAACCTTATTTTTTAAAAATGTGTGAAGTGGTAAAATGATGCTTTTTTAAAAAGGTTAGAAGCAGTTTTTAACGATGTAACAAGTCAGTGAAATTTGTACAGCTCACTGGCCCTTTGCATAATAGCATGGCTGTATCAAGATCTGTGAACTTTTTAGGCATTTCTAGCAGCCTTGACGGTACCACAGAGTACCTAAACCCAGGATGAGCAAAGCAAAAACATACCATGGCAAGACTAATAACAAATGAATTGAGACCTTTGTTTCTCTGAAGAACAGAAGAGGGATAGGAATGTTGTCTCTTATTACATGATATTTCAAACCTAGAAGAGGTACATCACAAGTAGATTAACATATACTTTGCTGTATTTTTATGCTCTGTTAACTCTGAGTACAGAATTTAAATGCATAGTTGAGAAGCAGTCCATTAACAAGCTTTCCAGAAACATTTAATTTAAATGTTTAACCCTTTGTCCAAATTAGCTGATTTGCTCTAAAAGAAAAATAAGCGCAGAAGATATTTTCTTTTGAAATTTGCACTTGAAATTAAAAGCTAGGCTTATAGTCTTAGTCAAGGATAGAGATTTCACTTTTGGATCTGTTGTATATCGAGAAGGTGAAATGGACTTGTCCTAATATGCTGCTAGAAATGACAAAATTGGAATGACATGATATTTTGATTTTTGCAGTGGACTTCAAAGCACCTTAATGAAAGTCTTGTTCTTCATCTCATCAGAGTTCTTCATGTGAAATAAGAAAAATCTACTAATATGTTTTAAAAGGTCTATTAAGTAATTATTTTCTGTGTAAGTATCCTCCAGAGATTTTAATGTAATTAAACCTTTTTTTGTTCTACAGTTCTGATCTGCTTTCTTACGTGAGCTGCGTTGTATGGCTGGAGTGAACATTCAATAATGAGTGGTGCAGCGTTGGGCCTTGAGATAGTATTGGTCTTTTTTCTGGCCTTATTCCTACTGCATCGGTATGGAGACTTCAAGAAACAGCACAGGCTGGTGATCATAGCAACGTTATTGGCTTGGTATCTTTGCTTTCTCATTGTATTTATACTGCCTCTGGATGTCAGTACGGTAAGAAACTTGTGAGATTTTCTGCTTAGTTGCATAAAATGTGTATGGTATTTATTTTCTAATCATAATTTCAAAAGATGGTATCTTAAACAGCAAATAATTTTTCCAAATAATATCTTAATAAACTAAACACTTTCTGGCTTTCTGTATGACAGCATGTGTTTACAATTAATTTTATTTTTTGTTCATCTCATTAATTAACAAATCTATTTCAAATGTTTTAAAATTGCATTATTTTTTTAATAGCACTTTTTTTATCTGTTTAACCAACATAAAACATTTTCATTTTTTTACTTACTTGTCCTGCAGGATGTATGTTGCTTTGAGGCTTTATTAGTATAATTGCTCCCAAGTGTAAACCTGGAGTACAGGGATTTTTTTTTAAATGGGACTTTTTATTTTTAAATAAATATTGTTCATTTTTTTTCTGGTCACTAATACAAAATTAATTGTCTTTTAGACTATTTATAATCGGTGCAAACTTGCGGTTAACTCCAGCCCTGCAGAAGGCAATGGCTCTTACGTTACTCTTGCTCCAAGGTATAAGCTATATGTTTCCTTTATTAGACTTTTTTTAAAGAAGTATTTTATGATTTTCTTCTTTTAAATGATAGGAGTATATATTAGACTAATAAAAAATGTTAACTGTGTAATATGACATTTAAAAATTATAAGCATATAGGAAGGTGAGGGAAGAGGTGAAGAAAAGGGGGGGAGTATGGTTGGGGGATATGGTGTAGGGGAGTACTTTAGAGTAGGGTGGATGGCTGGACTCGATGATCCCGAGGGTCTCTTCCAGCCTAGATAATTCTGTGATTCTGTGATTCCGTGAAAAGTGGATCTGCATCTATTGGTAATTTAATCAGTTGAATTTATAATTTAATTGATTATCTAAATATTCCTCTATTTATAATATTTTTTTCTTTAAGGTTTCACGTTAGATTACTTCTATTTCATTGTTAAAGCTATAGAACTAAGCTGTTCAAGCAACCTTGATTACGTAGAGACCCTGGTGAATGCTTATCTTTCCTTTACAATTTTAAAGACTTTAGACTTGAAAATCTGCTTTTATACCTTACGAATTAAGAAGCCTGTATTATATATAAGTAGCATATTTAATTGCTTATTATAATCACATATATATAGTAATTGAAGTTATCTGAAATTTACTGTGTTCTACCAAAGTAATGATAGCTTGCTTGCCATCTTCTGGCAGGAAGGAAGTAACCCCTAAAAGAAGGGAATGTGGGCTCTTTCCATAGTGGCTCGTTCTTTAGCCTCCATTGACTATTCCCACATCTTGTAGATGTGAGCAGTGTAGTTATCTGTAAGAGTTTAAGATGTTATTAATACATCCATGCAATGCATTGCCTCTTTTGTTGCTCCAAAGCATGGTCTACCTGAATGTTGTATATCCATGGAAGAACAGTAAAATGCCAGACTTAATAGCACAGCATTTTACCCTCTATTTAGGACTATCCAGTGCATGTTAGCTAAACATAGTTAGGTAAATACACAATTTGAAAACTATTTCAGTTTACCTATAGTTTCAGAGAATGCTGAGGGATGCTGTACTGTAGTATGTGACTTGAGTATATCAACTAGAAGTATCAACTTAAGTAATAATTGAGCAGATCTGTGTTGGTGCAGCTCAGATCTTAAAGCTTTGTTTGAAACCTTTACTCACACAACCTGTCATTCTATGGTAATTTGATAGTTTTGAAAATACTTAGGCTGCGTACACAAAAGCTCACAACTCAAGCTTAACTAGTTTGACCCTGGAAAACACCAATTATTTCTCAATAGATGTTGCTATTAAATTGGCTGCATTGCACCTTGACTCACCATTGCTTCATTACCCAGACAGATGTGGGGAAAAAAGCCCCTGAAGTGTCTTAGTGAGGATGTCTTTTGCTCTTTTTTTTTCTAAGAGGACCTTATGGCTTTTCTGATCTTCTGAAATAAATGTCAGAAGAGTCAAAGTTCATGTGAGCTTGACTAAATCCAGCTGGGTGAAAGAAGAAACAACTGAAACACTTTTAACCACTAAATGCACTACATAGTAGAGCTAGGTGATGGTGTCCTTAGTTTTTAAAAACCTATTGTATGAACTAAAGTCGAATGGTCTTCTGTCTACAGAAATGTCTTTTTCTTTGTATGAAGAAAGTACTTCTTGCCCACAAAGAAAAATTGTAACTTTAAATTCCTTAATTGCTTATTTCTTTTTAAGCTACTGGTTTTTTTCTCTGAGAAAGCTGTCTTGTCCAGATATGTTATTTGCGGTGAGGAGAATGATAAATATTTTCAAGTGGTGATTCCGTTTATTTTCTACTGAGATATTTGAGTAAATAGTCAATTATCAACTAGGAGTGTATTACTTCTATGCTATTTTCAAAGACATTTCTGGATAGGGGAATTTATAGAAAATGTTTTTTATACTCTTGTCCCTAGAACTAACAATTAACTTATTATTTACATTGTTGCAGCAAGCAAAAATGTTTCAAACCATGGAGTTACATTCCTAATGGAATTATGCCAATTTTCTGGCGTGTTGTGTATTGGACGTCACAGTTTTTAACATGGTAAGTAAGGCATAAGAATATGACAGACTATGATATAGGTATAATTTCTAAGTGTAGTGTCTTTAAGACTAGCATAGTGTCTTAAAGCCTTTATAGTCATAGCATAGTCTTAAAAGAGTATGTATCACTATTTGACAGAGTTGTCTAATCAGATACAATTTGCTAGCAGTAAAATTTCTCTAATAATTGCTGTACTAAATTGAGCATGCTTTTTTTTTGCTCCTTTTTCAGGTGGCAGCCATTTACTTTTGGTTCACTTTTATGGCTGAAACTGAGCAATTTACTCAGACTCGGTTATGGATAGATTGTCTGAAAAAAGTGGGTTTTAGGCAAAAGGACACCAAAATAATTCCATTAATAAGTTGGGTAGTTTTTGAGTTATTTGCCTTTATTTGCTATACTATATAAAGCTACAGGTACAACTACAGCAAACAGGTGTTACATGCTTTTGGGTTAGATTAATGTGTGGTTTCTGGCCAACCCCTCATCAAATAATTATTTTGATTGCTCAGTCAAGAATATCAGGGTTGGTAGCAAGTTCTCAATTAACACCCACTTTTCACAGTAAAGCTAACTGCATTGTTTTTATCTGCAGTTTGTTTAAGGTTTGCCATCAGACCAGTACGTCCAGCATAAAAACATATAACTACCAAATTTTGCTAGAAGTTTGGGCGTCTTTAGCTTAAACACTCCCTTCTCAGTATCCTGCCACTGGTAAACTACCATTTTTGGTTGGCTGATGTGGTTTGGTTTTGTTTGCTTTCCTCCTAGGATTCTGCTACCTTTCATGCAGTCATATGCTAGATCAGGAGGATTCTCCATTACTGGAAAGATTAAAACTGCATTGATTGAGAATGCAATCTATTATGGCACTTACTTGCTGATTTTTGGAGCATTTTTGATATACGTGGCTGTAAACCCAAACTTCAATTTACAATGGTAAGAATAATGTTGTAAGCACTTGCATGAGTTCTCATGAAATTATTATGGGTAATCTCTTCTGTAGATAAAATGAGTCTTTTTTTAAATAAACAATTTTAATTAATCTGATTTTTCCTAGGTAGTTGGGAAGTTCTGTTAATGTTTTTATGGAAAGGGATTTTTTGACTATTTACAGAGATACAAGTTTTGGTTTTCTGATTTTGATATGTACAGCAGAGGCATCCTCTTATATTTGCAATGTGTGGTTTTTTTTTTTTCTCTCTACAAATGCATTTGCATATTAGGGCAGAAAATTTCTCAGTGTTTCCAGATTAACATCTTTCAAAAAGTCTGTGTCAATATTTCCTGTGTAGCACTTCTGTTTACTGTAGATTCTATTTACAGGTCATAGTATGTTAAAATATTTGTATTTATAACATTGCTAATGGTCTTCCATACTAGATACAGTGGTAAACACTGTCATGCACTTTCAATGGGGAGATATAGAAAAATCGTGGCAGCTTTAAGTATGGCCAAGAAGCAGAGTAGCCCTGGGGAAGAATACAGATGGTGCTAAGTCTGTTCCTTGAAAGCTGAAAGCTTGAAGCTGAAAGCTTGAAAGACCCTAAAGGTAAACTTGAAAGCTGTATTGGTGCATAGACACTTCAAGGTTGCTTTCTTGCGAGTTGCATAGGAGGATGCTGTGTGTTTCTTTGTTTTTTCTTTTTTGTTTGTTCTATTGTTTCTCTCCTTAGGAACCAGCTTCAGACTATTGGGATAGCAGCTGCAAACACATGGGGTCTCTTTCTTCTTGTGTTGCTTTTGGGTTATGGTTTGGTGGAAATTCCCCGTTCTCACTGGAATGGGGCTAAGAGGGGTTATCTACTCATGAAGACCTATTTCAAAGCTGCCAAACTGATGACTGAAAAAGCAGATGCAGAGGAGAATTTAGAGGATATTATGGAGGTAAGTAATGCCTTTTGCTATGAAGTAAGAGTAGGCGGCTGTTAATCGTCACTGAATTTCATGGTGTTGGGCTCTAGTGGCAAGAAAGCATAAGTAGCATGAAGCTACTGTGAAAACAGTGGTAAATTAAGAAATCATCAGTGTGCCACTTGATGACGCTTGATTCTGTGTAAAAATCAAAAGAGAAATAGTCCAAGATGTTAAGAACTTGGCAACTTGATAGCCATTATTTGTTGGTTATATTTTTTTCTTCACCTTTTTGGAGTAATATTGGTCATTAGCAAATAGCATTCCAGAGTGAACTGGAAAATCATGTAATAGTTTGGGTTGGAAGGGACCCTAAAGGTCATCTAGTCCAATGTCCAGTGCCCCCTGCAATGGACAGGAACATCTTTGACTAGAACAGATTACTCAGAGCACCATCCAACTTGACCTTGAATGTTTCCAGGGATGGGGCATCTGCCACGTCTCTGGGCAACCCATTCCAGTGTTTCACCCTCATAGAATCATAGAATCATAGAATTTCCCAGGCCGGAAGGGACCTCCAAGGGTCATCTAGTCCGACCTCCCCGCAGTCAGCAGGGACACCCCCAACTAGACCAGGTTGCCCAGGGCCTCGTCGAGCCTCTCCTTGAATATCTCCAGGGATGGGGCCTCAACCACCTCCCTGGGCAACCTGTTCCAGTGCTCCACTACCCTCACAGTAAAGAACCCCCTTCTAATCTCCAATCTAAATCTGTTCCCCACACAGTGAAAGATTTTTTCCTTATATCTAGTCTATATCAACCCTCTTTCAGTTTAAAGTCATTACCTTTTGTCCTGTTGCAACAGGCCATGCTAAAATGTCTGTCCCCATCTTTTGTCTAGGCCCCCTTTCATAGAATCGTCTAGGTTGGAAGAGACCCTTGGGATCATCGAGTCCAACCATCTACCCTACTCTACAAAGTCCTCCCCTACACCATGTCCCTTAGCACTGCATCTAAACGGCCCTTAAACACAGCCAGGGATGGTGACTCCCCCCCCTCCCTGGGCAGCCTGTTCCAGTGCCCTATCACTTTTGGTGAAAAATTCTTTCCTAATGTTCAAAAATTCTTTCCTAATATTCAAAGTTTAAGTACTCAAAGGCCACTATAAGGTCTCCCTGAAGCCTTCTGTTCTCCAGGCTGAACAGCCCCAACTCTCTCAGCCTGTCCTCATAGGAGAGATGCTCCATCCCTGTGATCATTTTTGTGGCCCTTGTCTGGACTCGCTCCAATGGTTCAGTGTCCAGAGCTGGACGCAGTACTGCAGGAGGGGTCTCACCAGAGTGGAGTAGAGGGGCAGAATCAGCTCCCTTAACCTGCTGGACACAATTCTTTTGATGCAGCCCAGGATACAGTTTGCTCTCTTGGCTGCAAGTCCACACTGCTAGTCCAGCTTTTTATCCATCAGTAGCCCCAAGTCTCTGCCAGGGCTGTTCTCAATCCCTTCATCCCCCAGGCTCCCTTAACCTGCTGGACACAATTCTTTTGATGCAGCCCAGGATACAGTTTGCTCTCTTGGCTGCAAGTCCACACTGCTAGTCCAGCTTTTTATCCATCAGTAGCCCCAAGTCTCTGCCAGGGCTGTTCTCAATCCCTTCATCCCCCAGCCTGTATTGATCTTGGGGGTTGCCCCGACCCAGGTGCAGGACTCTGCACTTGGCCTAGTTGAACCTCATAAGGTTCTCGTGCACCCACTTCCCAAGTTTGTCCAGGTCCCTCTGGGTGGCACCCTATTCCTCAGGCATGTGAACTGCACCACTCAGCTTGGTGTCATCCACAAACTTGCTAAAGGTGCACTTGATCCCACTGTCTGTGTTGTTGATGAAGAGATGATGAACAGCAGGGGTCCCAATGTGGACTCTTGAGGGACACCACTTCTCACTGACCTCCATCTGGACATTGAGCCTTTTGATGCAACCATCCAACCAATTTGTCATCAACTGAACAGTCCACCCATCAAATCATTCTCTCTCCAATTTAGAGAGCAGGATGTTGTGGGGGACTGTCTCAAAGGCCTTAGAGTAGTCTAGATAGACAACATCTGTAACTCTTCCGTTGTCCGCTGGTGTAGTCACTCCATCATAGAAGGTCTCCAGATTGGTCAGGCAGGACTTGGCCATGGTGAAGCCATGCTGGCTGTCTCCGGTCACCTCCCTGTCCTCCATGAGCCTTAGCATAGCTTCTAGGAGGATCTGTTCTATGGTCTTGTCAGCACAGAGGGGAGGCTGACAGATGGCAGTTCCCAGGGTCTTCCTTTCTACCCTTTTTAAGAATGGGTGCAATGTTTCCCTTTTTCTAGTCACTGGGGATGTCCCCTGACTGCCATGACTTTTCAAATATCATGGAGAGTGGCTTGGCAGCTACATCAGCCAATTCCCTTTGGACTCTGATATATATTTCTCTCAAGTCCCATAGACTTCTGTATGTTCAGGTTCCTCAGGTGACAACCTCCTAGGGGGAGGAACTTTGCTCCCCCAGTCCCCATCTTGTGGTCCATCCACTCAGGAAGTGTGGGGAGAGCGGTTGCCAGTGAAGACAGGCAAAAAAGTCATTGAGTACCTAGTCTGTTGTTACCAGTTTGCCAGTCTTGCTCATCAGGGACAGTACACTTTCTTTGGCCTTTCTTTTCTGCCTGACATACCTGTAGAAGCCCTTTTTATTATTCTTTGCAACCCTTGCTAAGTTCACCTCTAGCTAAAGAGGCATTTGGACCTCATGAAGTTCAAACCTTATTAATTCAACAAGCCCAAGTGCAAGGTTATGCATGTGGGTTGGGACAATCCCAAGCACAAATTCAGGCTGGGTAGAGAATTGATTGAGAGCGGCCCTGAGAAGGACTTAGGGGTGTTGGCTGATGAGAAGTTCAACATGAACCCGCAATGTGCATTCACAGCCCAGAAAGCGGACTGCATCCTGGGCTGCATCAAAAGAAGCATGGCCAGCAGGGCGAGGAAGAAATTCTTTACTCTCAGGATGGTGAGGCACTGGAACAGGTTGCTCAGGGAAGCTGTGGGTGCCCCATCCCTGGAAGTGTTCAAGGCCAGGCTGGGTGGGGCTTTGAGCAACCTGGTCCAGTTGGGAGTTGTCCCTGCCCATGGGAGGAGCGTTGCTACTAGGTGATCTTGTAAGGTCCCTTCCAACTCTAACCATTCTGTGTTTCTATGGTGATAATCTCACTACATAATGAAAAACTCTTTGTCACAGACTGGTCAGGTCTCTTATGATCATTCCTTCAGGACATTTAGAGGGAATCCAGAAACACTGGCAGTCATCTGTTGGAACAGCCTTTTGTATGTGTCCATGGACTGTCTATATCCATTTAGCCTCCATTGTCACACTAAACAAATACAATTCTTCTGTCTGCTAATCATCCTATTTGATAAGATATCTAAGCCTTTACAGTTATTTCTGTCCTCCAAACTCTGGAACTTACATATATTTTTTTAAACTGCAGTTTGTAGCAACAACAAAAAAGCATCAAAATTTTATGTCTGCATTGCCAGCGGTTGCGAGCGCACATCGTTGGCTCAATGTCCAGCTTTTCCTCCCTCACTACCCTCAAGTCCTTCTCATCAGGGCTGCTCACAGTCCCTTCATCCCCAGCCTGTATTGATACTGGGGGTTGCCCCGACCCAGGTGCAGGACTCTGCACTTGGCCTAGTTGAACCTCATAAGGTTCTCGTGCACCCACTTCCCAAGTTTGTCCAGGTCCCTCTGGGTGGCACCCTATTCCTCAGGCATGTGAACTGCACCACTCAGCTTGGTGTCATCCACAAACTTGCTAAAGGTGCACTTGATCCCACTGTCTGTGTTGTTGATGAAGAGATGATGAACAGCAGGGGTCCCAATGTGGACTCTTGAGGGACACCACTTCTCACTGACCTCCATCTGGACATTGAGCCTTTTGATGCAACCATCCAACCAATTTGTCATCAACTGAACAGTCCACCCATCAAATCATTCTCTCTCCAATTTAGAGAGCAGGATGTTGTGGGGGACTGTCTCAAAGGCCTTAGAGTAGTCTAGATAGACAACATCTGTAACTCTTCCGTTGTCCGCTGGTGTAGTCACTCCATCATAGAAGGTCTCCAGATTGGTCAGGCAGGACTTGGCCATGGTGAAGCCATGCTGGCTGTCTCCAGTCACCTCCCTGTCCTCCATGAGCCTTAGCATAGCTTCTAGGAGGATCTGTTCTATGGTCTTGTCAGCACAGAGGGGAGGCTGACAGATGGCAGTTCCCAGGGTCTTCCTTTCTACCCTTTTTAAGAATGGGTGCAATGTTTCCCTTTTTCTAGTCACTGGGGATGTCCCCTGACTGCCATGACTTTTCAAATATCATGGAGAGTGGCTTGGCAGCTACATCAGCCAATTCCCTTTGGACTCTGATATATATTTCTCTCAAGTCCCATAGACTTCTGTATGTTCAGGTTCCTCAGGTGAGAACCTCCTAGGGGGAGGAACTTTGCTCCCCCAGTCCCCATCTTGTGGTCCATCCACTCAGGAAGTGTGGGGAGAGCGGTTGCCAGTGAAGACAGGCAAAAAAGTCATTGAGTACCTAGTCTGTTGTTACCAGTTTGCCAGTCTTGCTCATCAGGGACAGTACACTTTCTTTGGCCTTTCTTTTCTGCCTGACATACCTGTAGAAGCCCTTTTTATTATTCTTTGCAACCCTTGCTAAGTTCACCTCTAGCTAAAGAGGCATTTGGACCTCATGAAGTTCAAACCTTATTAATTCAACAAGCCCAAGTGCAAGGTTATGCATGTGGGTTGGGACAATCCCAAGCACAAATTCAGGCTGGGTAGAGAATTGATTGAGAGCGGCCCTGAGAAGGACTTAGGGGTGTTGGCTGATGGGAAGTTCAACATGAACCCGCAATGTGCATTCACAGCCCAGAAAGCGGACTGCATCCTGGGCTGCATCAAAAGAAGCATGGCCAGCAGGGCGAGGAAGAAATTCTTTACTCTCAGGATGGTGAGGCACTGGAACAGGTTGCTCAGGGAAGCTGTGGGTGCCCCATCCCTGGAAGTGTTCAAGGCCAGGCTGGGTGGGGCTTTGAGCAACCTGGTCCAGTTGGGAGTTGTCCCTGCCCATGGGAGGAGCGTTGCTACTAGGTGATCTTGTAAGGTCCCTTCCAACTCTAACCATTCTGTGTTTCTATGGTGATAATCTCACTACATAATGAAAAACTCTTTGTCACAGACTGGTCAGGTCTCTTATGATCATTCCTTCAGGACATTTAGAGGGAATCCAGAAACACTGGCAGTCATCTGTTGGAACAGCCTTTTGTATGTGTCCATGGACTGTCTATATCCATTTAGCCTCCATTGTCACACTAAACAAATACAATTCTTCTGTCTGCTAATCATCCTATTTGATAAGATATCTAAGCCTTTACAGTTATTTCTGTCCTCCAAACTCTGGAACTTACATATATTTTTTTAAACTGCAGTTTGTAGCAACAACAAAAAAGCATCAAAATTTTATGTCTGCATTGCCAGTAGGATGAACAATAAAATCTAGTTCTCACTAAGCCTGATAAACTGCTAGAGCCAGTTCTGACACAACTTATCTAGGTGTTAGGTAGCATCTTTTAATTACTGCTAAATGCCAGATGGCCCCAGAAATAAGCTATGTGAAGATAAATGTGAGCAAGATATAAAAGGAAGTACTGTAAAATTATTTTCATCAAGCTGGTCCAAGTAATGAAAATTAAACTAAACCAGGTAAGATAGAAACTCCCCCTTTTTACCTACAACTAAAACAAGAAAGCAGTTTCCATTTCAACATTCATGCATAGAAACCAAGCCTCCACACATTCACAGAGTAATGTTTGCACACTGACATCATGGGCTTTTTTAAAACAATACGTATGTGTTCTTTATAAGTGCTCCTTCAGTTATATTGTATCAGATGTCAGTAAAGCTGTGGCTTTTAGGAAGTTCTCTGGTTTTAAGATCTCATGGTTGTTTTTTCCACTGAAAGGGCTGAAACTCTTACCTGACCCTGTAAATTTTTTTTTATCTATTTAATAGATAAATAGATAAAATTTAATAATGAAACAACAACTTTTTTTTCCTCAACAGGAAGTCCGTAAAGTAAGTGAGAGTATCAAGTATAACCACCCATTGAGAAAATGTGTGGATACAATACTGAAAAAGGTAACAAATAGCTCATCTTCAGCCATAATTCTTCAATTGGGCAGGGGATGCTTCCTGCACCTACTGAATGCTTGTACATTATTTTTTTTCCCCCTTATCATAAAATCTCTGATTGGCATGTTTCTATGTCTGACCAGACAATGAGTTGAAATTTGTGGTGGAATGCTTTTTTATGATGTATGTAATTATCTGCTGTATTTTGACATATGTAATATTTTAGAAACAGAAAAATTTACACTTAAAATGAACTTCTCAGTTGCATGAAATACCCCAAATGTTTATAAATAATTAACAAAGAGCACTTGCTACTCCTCCATCTTCCACTTAATTTTCCCTTTTCCTTCCAGTGTCCTACTGAATACCAGGAAAGAATGGGTAGGAACATGGACGATTATGAAGATTTTGATGAAAGACAGAACAGTTATCCAAGTGAAAAAAGTTTGGTCAAACTTCATAAGCAGGTATATTAATAAATGAGAGAATGGCTCACTTTTGCTGATATATTGAGAATAAAATACTAGTCAAACAAGAATTTTCAACATACTTTACCTGAATTGCTGACTGTAGTGGAAACTTTTCTCAGTGTTAGAAAACATAGAAATTTAACATCCCAGCTGATATCTACAGTACACTTTCTTTGGCCTTTCTTTTCTGCCTGACATACCTGTAGAAGCCCTTTTTATTATTCTTTGCAACCCTTGCTAAGTTCACCTCTAGCTAAAGAGGCATTTGGACCTCATGAAGTTCAAACCTTATTAATTCAACAAGCCCAAGTGCAAGGTTATGCATGTGGGTTGGGACAATCCCAAGCACAAATTCAGGCTGGGTAGAGAATTGATTGAGAGCGGCCCTGAGAAGGACTTAGGGGTGTTGGCTGATGAGAAGTTCAACATGAACCCGCAATGTGCATTCACAGCCCAGAAAGCGGACTGCATCCTGGGCTGCATCAAAAGAAGCATGGCCAGCAGGGCGAGGAAGAAATTCTTTACTCTCAGGATGGTGAGGCACTGGAACAGGTTGCTCAGGGAAGCTGTGGGTGCCCCATCCCTGGAAGTGTTCAAGGCCAGGCTGGGTGGGGCTTTGAGCAACCTGGTCCAGTTGGGAGTTGTCCCTGCCCATGGGAGGAGCGTTGCTACTAGGTGATCTTGTAAGGTCCCTTCCAACTCTAACCATTCTGTGTTTCTATGGTGATAATCTCACTACATAATGAAAAACTCTTTGTCACAGACTGGTCAGGTCTCTTATGATCATTCCTTCAGGACATTTAGAGGGAATCCAGAAACACTGGCAGTCATCTGTTGGAACAGCCTTTTGTATGTGTCCATGGACTGTCTATATCCATTTAGCCTCCATTGTCACACTAAACAAATACAATTCTTCTGTCTGCTAATCATCCTATTTGATAAGATATCTAAGCCTTTACAGTTATTTCTGTCCTCCAAACTCTGGAACTTACATATATTTTTTTAAACTGCAGTTTGTAGCAACAACAAAAAAGCATCAAAATTTTATGTCTGCATTGCCAGTAGGATGAACAATAAAATCTAGTTCTCACTAAGCCTGATAAACTGCTAGAGCCAGTTCTGACACAACTTATCTAGGTGTTAGGTAGCATCTTTTAATTACTGCTAAATGCCAGATGGCCCCAGAAATAAGCTATGTGAAGATAAATGTGAGCAAGATATAAAAGGAAGTACTGTAAAATTATTTTCATCAAGCTGGTCCAAGTAATGAAAATTAAACTAAACCAGGTAAGATAGAAACTCCCCCTTTTTACCTACAACTAAAACAAGAAAGCGGTTTCCATTTCAACATTCATGCATAGAAACCAAGCCTCCACACATTCACAGAGTAATGTTTGCACACTGACATCATGGGCTTTTTTAAAACAATACGTATGTGTTCTTTATAAGTGCTCCTTCAGTTATATTGTATCAGATGTCAGTAAAGCTGTGGCTTTTAGGAAGTTCTCTGGTTTTAAGATCTCATGGTTGTTTTTTCCACTGAAAGGGCTGAAACTCTTACCTGACCCTGTAAATTTTTTTTTATCTATTTAATAGATAAATAGATAAAATTTAATAATGAAACAACAACTTTTTTTTCCTCAACAGGAAGTCCGTAAAGTAAGTGAGAGTATCAAGTATAACCACCCATTGAGAAAATGTGTGGATACAATACTGAAAAAGGTAACAAATAGCTCATCTTCAGCCATAATTCTTCAATTGGGCAGGGGATGCTTCCTGCACCTACTGAATGCTTGTACATTATTTTTTTTCCCCCTTATCATAAAATCTCTGATTGGCATGTTTCTATGTCTGACCAGACAATGAGTTGAAATTTGTGGTGGAATGCTTTTTTATGATGTATGTAATTATCTGCTGTATTTTGACATATGTAATATTTTAGAAACAGAAAAATTTACACTTAAAATGAACTTCTCAGTTGCATGAAATACCCCAAATGTTTATAAATAATTAACAAAGAGCACTTGCTACTCCTCCATCTTCCACTTAATTTTCCCTTTTCCTTCCAGTGTCCTACTGAATACCAGGAAAGAATGGGTAGGAACATGGACGATTATGAAGATTTTGATGAAAGACAGAACAGTTATCCAAGTGAAAAAAGTTTGGTCAAACTTCATAAGCAGGTATATTAATAAATGAGAGAATGGCTCACTTTTGCTGATATATTGAGAATAAAATACTAGTCAAACAAGAATTTTCAACATACTTTACCTGAATTGCTGACTGTAGTGGAAACTTTTCTCAGTGTTAGAAAACATAGAAATTTAACATCCCAGCTGATATCTAGGTCCAATTTCTGGATGTGTAAAAAGGGTTCTTTTTGCATTATATCTTGACAGTGTTTTAACTGTCTGTGAGTAAGCTGTGTAATGGTTGGTTGATAATGCATTCTAAAAAAACCTATAGTAAAATATTGGTATTCACTAAGATGCAAAAATAAAGTGGGATATTGGAAAAAGTAGGGTGTTACTGCAAAACGCAGGAATCTTGTATGTAGTCCTCTTATGATTTGTATATTTAGAGAATTAACTGCCTGTTTTTGTGAGTACACATAATTAATCTTTGCAGTTCTCTACTCTAGATATTTTTAAGGGATTTTGCAAAGCTTTTCTCTTGTTTCTTGGAACAATTATGTTGTAACCATAATTTCTTCGATTGTATTATAGGTAATCTACTCAGTACAGAGACATCGTCGTACGCAGGTCCAGTGGCAAATGCTTTTAGAGCAAGCATTTTACCTAGAAGATGTGGCAAAAAATGAAACCAGTGCAACTCGACAGTTTGTTCATACCTTTCGTTCCCAGGAACCAGAGAATAAAATTATTCAATATTTCTACACACCAACTGTTGGTAAGTGCAGATTAAGGAGTAATAAGGCGTAAGGAGTAACCAGTACCGTTTAGTAATAACCGATTGCGTTATGTAGAAAGCTCAGTTGCAGTAGAGGGAAGGAAGTGTGCGTCTTAATGCATTTATGTCATGGCATAGCCATCAGGTATTGATTTATGCTCCTAACAATAAGCTTAATTTTTTTTACAAATTTAGTAGCAGTTAAATGTTGTGATAGCAATAGCAAACTTTGAAGCCTTGTAAGAAGAAAGAAAAATAGCAATTTTAATTATTAGATCATGGCTACCTTCTGCATTTATGAGGCATTATTGAGATGGCACTGCTCTTCCAGTAAAGCAAAGAGGGAAGGACTCTTCATCTGTCCTGTACCAAACGTTAGGACATGCAGCTGCTTGTGCATCTTTTTAGAAAGTGTCTTCTAATCATGTTTTAACTTACCATTTGTTGTGTACTAGCCGTGAGTTATTTCCAGGATAGGACAACATAATTTTACAGCCTAAACATTGTTTCTGAAGGAGTCACAGAGGAACAAGCTAAAAGTGGATCTCCTATAGTATCTAGGCCAAAAGCGAAGCGTTCTGTTCTGCACCTCCACAGTTCCAATCCATTTGCAAAATTTGCCTTCCAAATCCCACCCTGGTTTCCTCAGTTGTGCCTATGGTTATTTACAGCTGAGCCAGATTTCTAGGCATTGGAAAAGCCTAGAAATTAAGTGTGTGACACCCCAGATTCTAGTCTTATTTTAAGGGTGTGCGTGCAAGAAGTTCATAGTTTTTTTTGAGGGACTTCCATTTCTGGTTGTGTAATTTTCATTAACCCATTCCGGATGTGTGTGTGTTTGTTTTTTCCAGAGTGGTACTGGAAATGTCTCCTACGACCATGGTTTTACAGGGTGCTTGCAGTTGTCCTGGCCACGTTCTCTGTAATTGTTGTGTGGTCAGAGTGCACATTTTTCAGCACAAAACCAGTTTTATCGCTATTTGCAGTTTTCATACAGCTGGCAGAAAAGACATACAATTATATATACATAGAGGTAAGTTTGAGATAATCACTCAAGAAAAGTCTTTTCAGGTAGATTGCTATTACAATATTAGTAGACCAGATTGATTTAAAAATCAGTCTCAAAATAATCTGTCAACTTTCAGAAGTTCTCTAAAATATATAATACCAAACTTTGTTTCTGTGGAGGGAGTCTGCTGTTTGCCACTTCTTACAACTCTCCATTATGGGCTGAAGATGTTATCCAGTTGACTTAAATGTCATATGTGGAGTAATTTGTGAAACATCAGCTTAGCTGTTCAGACTTTGTGTCTAATCACCCATGTGTGTGACCTCTCTTTCCTAAACAGGAATTTGCTGCTGACCAGAAATCCAGTCACACACGTGGCTAACATATGCACACACAAATTTATCAGTAAAGGAACTGAGCTGAAAAACTCTGCTATACTAACAAAATAAGTTGAATTGAAAACACTTGTTTTTATCACTTCTTGTTAGGAATAAATGTCTAATCAGTCGTAATTATTGAGGCAATTGCAGCTATCTCATCTACCTAGCAAAAAGAAGTAGAATAAAACGTTCCTAGGGTCAATTGTGTTAGTTTATATGAAGAGCAAAATGTTACTACTATAATTCTCAATTTAAATTAGTCAGTAAAACTCCTGAAACTCTTCTCAGAGATGGTGTTAATGTCCTATATCAAAATGAAAAATTAGACTACAATCAGCGTGTTGCAGACTATGTGCTGAATGCATTAAAACCTTTAGTAGAGTACTATGTTGAAACAACATATTTTTTTTTTTCCAGATGGCCTGTTTTCTTACCATCTTTTTCCTAAGTATCTGTGTTTACTCTACTGTCTTCAGGATCCGTGTATTTAACTATTATTACTTAGCTTCACATCATCAAACAGATGCATACAGCCTCCTTTTCAGTGGCATGTGAGTATGTTACACGTATATTGCAGATTTTCTGTCAAATACTCAATTGAAAATGTCCATGAAACTTTCAATTATAATCTTTCATTTGTAATCATATGGGTATAAATCATAATGAGCTATACATAATGATTCTGTAATATATCCAGTTATAATTTTTTAATATTTTTAGTGCAATAAATTGTTTTAAAAGCTGTTGCGTCTTGTATTGGTGCAGGTTATTTTGCCGTCTTACTCCACCATTGTGCTTGAACTTTTTGGGCTTGACCCATATGGATGCAACAATCTCGCACAAAAACACTCAGCCAACAGCTTATACATCTGTAAGTATAGAAATGTAGTTTTGAGGCTTCTGTATGGCTTGGAGAATACGCAAAATATTTTCAAATTCTTCCTATAGTAAGATTCAGATATTCGAATCTTTACACTAGTATTAAACTGGGTAGAAGTACTTACTTGTATACCAGGACTTTGATAATGACTGCTAGCTACACAGGAGTCATCAATAGTGTGATTTTTCTGTTTTGATCTCTTTAGCCTAAGAAAGTTAAGTGCTGAAGAGTTCTTTTTTTCACTTCCTAATAGCTTTAGCTTCCACTGACTAGCATATGAGAGATCTTTATAGATTGGAAGCAATCCTAACTTGCCACTGAAAACCAGTGAGTTTGGCTTTATTGAACAACAAATTTCTGTGGGACAGCAACTTACACCTCACATCTTTGTTGTTAGCAAATAGATTCTTGGTGTTGTGCAGAGACTTTTTTCACAGCAGATTAAAAGATCCCCCAGATTTGAACTGGCTCTGGATTAGGTGAGACAGCAAGATCTAGTGTCTTTGAAACCTGAGAGTGGATGCACTGTTAGAGGTGGCCTTTATATCTGGGACCAGCTGTCTGGATCAGATCTGTAATGGTAATACTTACCTATGTTTCAGTAACTGTAAAGGATTGTGTGGTTATGTGTTGTGGACTGAAAACAATGAGATGGCACAATCTTTATGGATACATGTAGAATATAGCTGATTAGAGCTTATTCTTGTGGAATTTTTTTCCAGATAATGGGATCCATGAGAGTGCTGACTTTCATTGCAGATGGATTCTATATATATTACCCAATGCTCGTTGTCATTCTCTGTATTGCCACATACTTCAGGTAAGTGATTTGCAATTCAGACCCTCCATGTTTCTTTACATCAATAATAATAGTTTCAGCAATCAGGAACAAATTGACTTCTTCTCTTCCAGCACCTGAGTTGTGACACATTAATAAAAATGCAAAAACTAAAACAATAAATTGATATTTATATATGTGAAATGTGTACATTTTAAGAATATTGACTGTATTAACACATAACTAAGTTGTGGGGGTTTTTTCTCCATTAAAGTTCATTCCTATATTTTGGGTTCTGATCTGTTCAAACTTCAGAGCGCACATACATTAAGATTCTGCTTTTGATATTAACATTACTATGAGGAAGCTACGGCGAGACTCAGACACAGACCAATTTGATCATGCTGAAGCCCACTTTATTGTTTTAACAAACTCTTTTATATCTTTCTTACAAACGTGTGTCCATGTATAGTTGGTTCACTTAAAGTCCAACAGTTCATGATTGGATGACTTCCTCCTTCTTTGTTCTCTGCTGTAACTTCAGTAACTTTCCTCTGCTGGCTATCTGACAGGTCCTTAATCTTGTTTACTCCCTTCTTCTCCAGACTCTCAGGGCTCTTCAAGGATACACAGGTGCCTGCCCAAGGCCGATGCTAAGGCTCACATTACAATCCCAGGGATAAGCCAAGGTTTCCCACAGGAAGCTATGTTTTCAGCAAGGCTTTTCCAATAAACTAAGCGGCATTAACAGAAACTTTACATTATGAACTTTTTAACAGACTCAACAAATTCCTATGTCACCAGACTTCAGTTTGAAAGCACAGTGGTTTAAATAATTTGGTCTTGTTTCCCTAAGCCACCGTTTGTTGGAGGCTGGAAGGGTGATGGCAGAAATTACTGTTGTTTGCTTGCTTTATCCTTACATTTCAAAATGTCAGCTTTTGACCACTGTAAGGGATGAGATGCTTTCAGTCTGACATTGCTCGGCTACATTTATATTGACTTCTTCAATTTTGCATTAACATTCAATCAGAAGCACTGTATATGTTTTGAGTCATGTAGAATGTAGTTAAATGCCTTGAATGTCCTTCAATGCCCTATGCACGTCCATAGATTGTAAGACAAGAAGGATCCAGTCCTAGGTTTTCCCTGCTTACCTTCAGGTTTGGTGACAGAAGTGGTGGTAGGAGACAGAAGAACCACACGAAAAACAAACAGAAAAGCCAATGACAAGAAAGTAGTTTGTGCAACTTCTTGTCCATGATGATGAATGCCATAGACAAAAGGAGGAAAAGAAACTAAAGGAGAGGAAGTTGCTTCGCTTGAACTTTAATGCTCTCTAATAATTCAAATACATGCAAAAAAAAAATAAATTAATTAAAATCTGTCAAGGAAGGCTGTCTCCCTTATTTAACCCAGAAGTCTTAAAAGTTCAGATAGTACAGGAAGAAAACTTTTCAGTATAAATATACAATGAAGATAACTTTGAACATGATACTGGTGCTGCAGTTTGGAGAGAATAAAACAATAACAAGAACAGCAGTTGTGTTCTCAGATGTGAAACTGAACAAATGAAAGTAGTTTCCTGGTATCTAGCTGCAGGACTAGTTTAACAAAGATGGAGAAAGCTTACTATCTGACTTTTACCTGATGGATATCCAAAATGGTAGCTGGCATCGCTACAGCTTAAAAGTATGCTACACATTTCTCCTGAGTAAAACCTGAAATGAATGTTGTTACTGTTTCAAATCCATAGAAATAACAATAGGTAGACATTTTATAAAAATTATCCTCTGGCAAAGAAGATTCAGTGAGATAACTAGGTATAAATTCTTTTATATCTGAGAACATTTCAAACAATTGCTTTATCTTAAATCATTTGCACTGCTCACACTATAAGCAGTTTTATCTCTCTCTTTGAATAGGACGATTCTGTCACATTCAGTTGGATTTAGGAACATGTCACTGTTCTGAATTTTATGTTTTCTTGGTAGTATAATAGTCTGCCTTCTATATTGCTTTTTTGCTTGAATTGTCCATAAATTTCTGAACAATTTGTTTTACGTTTTGCAGTGTAATAAATCTAAATTAGTCATTGTAAGTTAACAAAGGAAATTACTTCTCCTTCTCCTTTTACCAGTTTAGGAACTCGTTGTTTGAATCTTTTGGGATTCCAGCAATTTGTGGGGGATAGCGAAATGACCTCTGATTTGATTGACGAAGGAAAAGAGCTAATCAAAAGAGGTAAGTTGGGTCCTCTATCCTAGTCTTCCTGCAAAATACATGTTGTTGCATTAAAGTTGCTTGAAATGTTATCCAAAAAAACCATGTAGCTCGTCAATATTTTGAAAGCCGTGTTGGACTTCATTGACGTCTGTATCATCTTTACTCATCCAGTATCTGTGTTTTGTATATTTCTAAATATTGTGCAGTTCAGTTAAGTGGTTCTCCTGCTAAGTCATTACTGATCTAATAATACGCAAGTGTTTGTGTAATCTGTTATAAAGGAGAGCACTTAAATTGTCTGTATCATAAACAAACTCATTTTAATCTTTCTTTGTGTTTGCTGATTGAGCTGCCCAAATTATTTCATTTTCTTTAGGATTTTTTGCTTTTTCAACTAACTGTTCTGTAACACAAAGCATGTTGTTTTGTAGACCAGTAAGTTTCTGCTGTTTTGGAGAGCTTTTTAACTTTTTAAATGTTAATTCTTATTGAGAGTGTTACTTGAAAGTTGTTAAAAGCTGTTGTGGCTCTTAAGTAAACATTTAGAAATTAAAATCTCTGGATACAATGCTATATTGTGGAATGCTTTCATTCTTGTTTCATAGTTAATGAAAAACAAAAACTAAATTTACTTAGAGTAGGAGTATTTCTTTTTTGGGGGAAAGGAATGTCTCTCGTTCTCTTAAATTTGAGGTTACTATTTATTTGATACTGTAATGTTACACTTCCAGCGTAATAGCAGATAAGGACACAAACTGGGTTGTATTTTGGGCCTTGCTGGACTTCAGCAAGATTTCGATTCAATTGTGCTTAAGTTTCTTCTTAACATCATACTTTTTCCAGCTATTTCTAGGAGGTTTTTTTTTCTTCTTCTTTGCCAGCTGGTATCCAAATGTTATATCTTGACCCAAAATACATCATGATGAATTCATTTTAATGGGAAACTCCATAATGATAGCCAAGCAGCTTTTGTTTTTATTTAATTGTACAAGCCATCTGTTTCAATAAGAATCTCCGCTACTTAACTTTAGAATCTTCATTGTTTGTTTAAAAAAATCAGTAATGATTTTTCCTGTATGGAGCTCAGACAAACGTTTTTCTTTAATTTTTAGAGAAAAGAAAACGACAAAGGCAGGAAGAAGGTGAAAACAGAAGAAGGGTATGAGATTGTTTTTGTTAATTATAATCTTAAGATACTGCAATATCTGATAGGCTTTATTTCATTCTACTTCATACTTAAATTTTTACATATTAAGACATGATGGAATGGAAACACAACAGAACAATGAGCTTGGTAAACATGGCCTGTCCAAATGTTTCTTGTGCTGTCTTCATCTGGTTATTTTACCATTCTACCACTAGATGGAAGTAGAAATCAAAAAAAGCAATGTTCCCACAGTAACTTAAAGCAGTTGAGTCAAATTGGAGTATAGATTTAACATGTAGTTTGTTTTCTGCAAGTCTTTTTTGTAAAGAACAGTTATGGTAATTAGTTTAGTGAAGGGACATATCTTGAGTGTAAAACAAAACAAAAATTATTCCTGCATCAAGACACAGAACAGGAATATTTTCAAAATATTACTTTCATACTCTGATACGATTGATGAATTAGCTCTAAATTGTGGGTCTGCAGTGTTTCTTGATCTTACATAAGCTTTTTTGTGTTACTTTTTCCTCACAGCTTGTGTTATCTTTTTTTCGTCTCTTTTCCAGGAATGGAAGGAGCGGTATGGAAATAGGGATGATTCCACTAGAAACAGGGCTGTCCACACAGACCAAAAAGAATCCAGCTTCTCAGAGACCAGTATCAGTAGACGTAAGCTTTGTGGGTTTTGGAGGGAGTTTGTTTTGGTTTTTAGTGTCTTGTCTGCATAACACTGGCTGTGTGAGTAGCTTCACGTAGATTTGTTTTTGTCGTAGATAATGTGCTGATATATTCCCTTCTGTGGCACAATGCCATCTTGCCTATTAAAGACACCTGAAAATTACTGTATTTCTTCCCATCTTCAACACTTCAACTAGTGGAGGTTGGAGATCCTGACTAGTCTCAATTACTTGGTCTTCTTATGGGACATAGAATGATTGCAATTTTAGAGTAGCAGTTGTCAACAAAGCAGCCTTGGATATGTCTTGAGGTTGGGAGTTTTAAATCTCAAAATTTACCTCTTCTGTTTGCAAGTGGGTTAATTAAAGAAATGACCAACAAATATAAAGCCAGTAAGATAAGGCACTACTGTATACATGTCCATTTAGTAGTATCTGTTCGCAAAAGACTTTTTTGTGGATGTGCTAAACTTCTAAAAAGTTTATTTGTCACAGTGTTAATGTTTTTTTTTAATGTGTTTTATGTGCTCTTGTAAGCTAACAGCAAGTGAGATATGATACTGAAAAAGAGAAGGAAAAAGGGGGAGAAGGAAGGAAGCTTTCAACGTGCTTTTGAAATAACTCTGGTAGATTTCCCCCTCCTCTTAACAAAGTTGGAAACCCAGATTTTCAGTGGTAGACTAACTGAAATTATATGCAACTATATTTTAATGTTAACCATGTGAATATGTAGCATTCCAACACCAAAATAGGCCATAGATAGTGGCCTAGTGAAGGTGGCAGAGTGAACTGCAAAACAACTATATTTATTTAATTAATGAGATTGCCTCTTTAAAACAAACAAAACCATTTTACTTCCACCTAGCTTAGTTGAAGTGGGAAGTTGGGAAGATGAATGGGTGATTGACTAATGGGTTTAAAAGTGAAGTTTGCATGTAACTTCTAATTTTCTTTGATTCTTTGCAAAGTAGATCTCATCCTACTTGAGTGGCAAAAGAAAATTTGTAGTTGCAATGCTCTGGAGATACAAAAATTAGATACTACAAATTTGAGCGTGTAGACAGATTTTGTTTAATATTGAATCTATTCTAAATCATCACACTGAAAGTTTGGATGAGACAGTAGCAAATTATTATTCTGATCATTTCAGTTTGATGTCTCCATATGCTCCAAGGTGTTCATAGAGCAAATGAGTGTCTTTCCTTCCTTTTCCCTATTCAGCACTATCAAAGTATACCCGATCAAATGGTAGGACTGAAAGAGATAGAATAGAACTTCTCCAGGATGCAGAACCTTTGGATTTTAATGCAGACTCAATTAATGATGACCCTCTTGAACTGGACTCAGGAAGGTGAGGAATCTTCTGTGTTATTTGCAATTAAATGATACTCACGTCTTCTGACCTGCAGCAGCTGTATCAGATAGGTTGGCGACCAAAATTGATCATCTGGCCTGTTTTCCTTTTTTCCTTTTCCCCCATGATATGGGAAATGTTTTAAAGCTAATTGAAACCTAAAGGTTTTTCAGCTTTTTAGAAATATCTTAGGAATCTTTGAGTTTAATATAATTTTGTATATTGGCCAAATCTGAAAAATACTTTATATAAAACCAGAAAACTGGAGAATGACCTGCATACGTACAATAAAAGGTTTTCTCTAATTTCCTGCAAGACTTTAGAAAGCTCGCTTGATTTCCCTATATAAAAGTTATCGTAATGGGCTGCCAGAAAGAAAACTGACTATTACAGGACCAGTAGTTGCAGGAATACACGTGAGGATCAGGTCTTGGAACTACTGGAGTAAATGGAGTAAATTAAAATCTGAATTTACTGAACAAAAAGTCCCAGACTGCACAGCATAGCTCTGTCCATAGTAGAGAATTCTGTGATTCTGCAACACCAGATTTCCTTGGCTGTGAAACAGAGTATCTTATATACCTGTTAAGGTCTGCTCACACTTAAGAAACAAGTAATACATTTTATGGGTGCTCTTTTTTTATCCAGCTGATTATGATGTGGAACCCTTTAGTGAGAAATAATTTTAAATTTCCTTATCAAAGGTTATAGTTTACATTACTTTTCTAGGTAAAACTAGCACACCTGTCTGATAAAAAATCATAAATTACATATCTATATGAATAAATAAATGCTAGTTCAAAACCATGCAAAGAATGCTGCTAAATGACACTGCCAGGTTTTACAGAGTGATTCATGAATGTTGGCTAGTTTGTCTAGTCTAATGTCACCGCATTTCAAAAGTTGATTCTTCTTAAGCAGAGGAGTTTGAAGAGGAACTAGCCTAGCAGTTCTGTCAGCTGTTGACCTCTGTAGAGTGTGAAAAGGCTCTGATAATCTACGTGAACAGGAATATGCACATATAATTCTTTTGGAGCAAATACTTTTCAAGTACAGTATCTGAAGTCTTAAAGTGGAACATTCTGAACTTTTTCTGTAAATAAAGAAAATCTGAGTCACAGAGCTTAGTTGATCTTTCCTGTAGTAACCTGCATTTCATTCCATAAAGGTCAAGAATAATTGCCTATGAAATTTAAATCAACTTAAAAATAGCTTGTATAACATTGATTTTTAAAACTGTGGCTCCTTCAATAGTTCAATAGTTACAAGCATTCTAGGACAGTAAGAGCGCTGGGGGCACTCGTTTCTGGCTTTGTGTCAGTTCAAATTCTGGTAAATACTGCAGAGATAAAAGTACATTGTACTTGCATTGGAACTTACTTGTTCTTTTAAAATGCTTTTAAAATATATCTGACTAATAATTTGTGAAGCTTCTTTTTTCCCCACTAAGTGTACAACCATTTGTTTTAGTTATCTTTGATACTGTATTTCTCCTATTCCATTTCTGTTTCACTCAATGAGATCTTCTGTTAATCACCCAACCTACTTTTGGATGTTGTTGTTTTGGTTTTGTTTTGCTTTTTTAAAAAAGAAAAAAGTTCTGTTGAACAGAAACATTCAGCTTCTTTCCTGGAAATTAAGTTATTTAAGACTCCCAGTCTTCATATCACCATGAGACTTAATTTAATGACTGCCTGTCAGATTCTCATGGAAACAGTAATGCAGTAGAACTTCAGATTCTGTAATTCAGTGGGAGATAAGGAGTAAGAGTGCAGTGACAGTTACATAAGTCTTTATTTTTCTATTTCCTGTGATACTTTTTCATATTTAAAATTGCTTCTGCAGGTACCAGCCTGGTGGGAGATACCTGTCAATGTCTCGAAGCGAAATATTTGATGATGTCTAAACTCCTGAAAGCTAAAGAAAATTCAGTGGAAATCTATTTCCTGCTTATTGCTTGGAAAATACTGTATTCATGATACATCACCAAACCAGGAAAGACCATTTTTGTTTAAAAAAAGAATATGAAGGAAAAACTAATTTGCAAATGCACCTATATGATAACTTTACTACTTATGACAAGAATATGCTTCTTCTATTGTAGATATTGTTGTGCATCAGTGTGGGCTTTTGTGTCATGACCAAAAGGAGAAAACTATTAATTAAGCTAATAGTAAGTAAACTTCAGAAATATACTTAGGGCTCAACATGAAGGGGATATTTTAGAAGGAACTTTTTTTGTATTTAGCAGATGCTATGAGAGCATCTTAATGCATCCAAAGTGCAGTTATATCAATTACTATAGCTAACACTTTCTATAATTTTTCTATTTGAACTTTTTGTCTAGTCCAGCATCTACTGAATTAAATTAAGGCTTCTTTTGGCTTCAGCGGTCTTTGAATCAGACTCTGTATAAGCAGAAAGATTGAATGGCAGAGAGTTCTTCATAAAATCATAAAATAAAGTACATGGTCTTCATGTACTTCAAGTACTTCAATCATCGAATTATATGATTCTGTGAAATTTGGTGGCGTAAATTTTTAAGCAAGGTGTATTGGTCAAGAAAGGCTATATTTTTTTTTTTCCTTTTACAACATTATATGCAGATAAATGATTTTAGCATGTGTAAATAGTTGAAATTGAATATGGACCAGAGTTTCACTGTCATATGAGCATATGTGCAATAGCAAGAATACATTATCGAAGTTATGATGTCTGCTTAAGATTTTTACAGTTGTAAATCTTGGCACACTAACGTTTTTTGTAACTGTAGAATAAACACAATGTGAAAAATCAGTTAGATGCTGAAACCTTATAATTTGCACACACCTCAGGCACGGCTTCAAACAAATATTTCTTTAAAGGAAGGGAAATACATAGCATGAGTAGATAATGGTAAACACTTTTAGTGTCCCAAATGCCCTGGTTGCATTATGTACATGTTTTTAAGGTGCCTGTATTTTGCAGTAAGTTGTTGCAAAAAGAATAATGCTTATTCATTTGAATGCCATTCAAAAATGCCAATTATTAACAGTGTAAAAAAGCTTCACATTAATTTCATTGGTGTAGATATATTTTTAAACTGTAGTTAGTTGAATGAGTTCTTAAATGTAATCATAAGGTAAAAGATGTGGTTGAATTCATGGTATTTTAGGAAATTTGATTAATTTAAAATGTTGCTTTATTGCAGTTTGTCTTATGTCTTTTACCACTTGGGAGTTTTCTTGTGTGCTTATTGCGAAGTCATGTTGAAAACCGAAGAAAATATGTTTCTATTGTAAATTCTTTATCATGCTTAAAAACCAGACATCCCTTAAAGCAACTAGGAATGAGTTATTCTGATAGGTAAGATTTCATGAACAAGGTGTTCTACTAATTTTTAAAAATAGTCTTTGTTTTCTGAAGTAATTGTTAATGGGGATCTAACTACCTCCTGTGATTTAGTACATCATGTGTTTTAACAGTAGTGGTATTTGTAATGTATTGATCTGCCTGTTTTGAAACACTGAATTGTTACTATGAAGGAGAAAAAATACTCTATTTGTATGGGAACAGTTATTTTAATAAATTGGCAGACATAAAATAGTCATGACTTCTGATCTTAGGTGAATTCACTGTATGACAGCTGTGTCCACATGTATTCAAGCTCATGAAATTTACAGATTATCTATAAGAGGGCATTTTTTTAGTTTGGGTGTTTTGTGTATTGTGAAAGCTTGATCAAAATCTTATGGCTGTATCAGGAACTGGAAGCTGAAAAAATTAGACTTTTTAATTCTGGTTGTTCTTTAGCAACTTTTTAGTACCGAATTAATTTATTTTAGATCTACTTAGAAATGCTATCCTGGATTCAGCCTTATAGGAAAGGGATTGTATATGCTGTTGGGCATCCATCCACATGAATGTTCTTAGACTTGATATTTCTGTTTTAAAATTTGCATCTCATTTAATTGCCCAAAAACTTATTTGTAAAAATATTTAGATGAAATGAGGTTCAGGTTCTTTTTTAACTCTTGAAATGTCACTACAAAGGGATCTAATTCAGTGCTAATGGAAAAATGACAGAAGGCACATTTGCTTTTCTGAATGCTTGTATATCCTTACCTAGCCCCTGCTGACTTTGGAGAGGTAGATCGAGCATTCTTGGGGGCTGGCTTTTCCCATTGCAGAAATCAGTGGAATGGCTGCAAACAGAATTTTCAGTGGAAACTTGGTCAAGATTTTATATACAACAGCTAACTGGTCCCCGGTGTAAGCCTTCTGCGCAAATTTTCATTGGGATCAAATAATTTGAGGAGTTGACTGTATAAATTAATGGCAGCGGGTTTTCAGTTTGCTAACATAGAAATTCTGAGCTCATCGAGCTGGGAATCCACTGACCTTTTTTGGTGTTGCGGTGGACTAGTGGAGTAACCAGTGTTCCAACTTGTGCCCATTGCCCCTTGTCCTCTCACTGGGAACCACTGAATAGAGTCTGGTTCCCTCCTCCCTCAGCCCACCCTTGAGATACTTGTAGGCATTGATAAGGTCTCCCCTCAGCCTTCTCTTCTCCAGACTAAAGAGTCCCAGCTCTTTCAGCCTCTCCTCATAAGGGAGGTGCTCCAATCCTTGAATCATCTTTGTAGCCCTGCGCTAGACTCTTTCCAGTAGTTCCCTGTCCCTCTTGAACTGGGGAGCCCAGAACTGGACACAGTATTCTGGTTGTGGCCTCACCAGTGCAGAGTAGAGGGGCAGAATGACCTCCCTTGACCTCCTGGCCACACTCTTCCCTATGCAGTCCAGCATAGTTGTACAGCGTACAACTATAAAAGAACATAGTAGAAATAAGGGATATGCCTGCAGTGTTTGCTCTGTGCTTGAGCTAAATTTTTTTCTTGCATGATGTTTGATGCTCTGGATTTGGTGTTTTAAAATAAAACTGCCTTGCGAACTATGCTGTTTGCAACTGAATGTTGACGTGCTTATTTGCAGCTAAAGAAAGTCAATTATGTATTATTTCACTTTCTGAATTACTGAGCAATTAGGTTATACTTCCATTTCATCATCCTTTCTGCAGTTTCCTCTTCATCTTTGAACACAAAAAAACCTTCAAAACACCAAGAACCCCACCCAAGTTAAGTAGAAATGAATGTCTTCATGTCAAAGATTTAAACTAGTGAGAAGAATACATGCAAGTTGCAATGAATAGCCCACCCTTGAGATACTTGTAGGCATTGATAAGGTCTCCCCTCAGCCTTCTCTTCTCCAGACTAAAGAGTCCCAGCTCTTTCAGCCTCTCCTCATAAGGGAGGTGCTCCAATCCTTGAATCATCTTTGTAGCCCTGCGCTAGACTCTTTCCAGTAGTTCCCTGTCCCTCTTGAACTGGGGAGCCCAGAACTGGACACAGTATTCTGGTTGTGGCCTCACCAGTGCAGAGTAGAGGGGCAGAATGACCTCCCTTGACCTCCTGGCCACACTCTTCCCTATGCAGTCCAGCATAGTTGTACAGCGTACAACTATAAAAGAACATAGTAGAAATAAGGGATATGCCTGCAGTGTTTGCTCTGTGCTTGAGCTAAATTTTTTTCTTGCATGATGTTTGATGCTCTGGATTTGGTGTTTTAAAATAAAACTGCCTTGCGAACTATGCTGTTTGCAACTGAATGTTGACGTGCTTATTTGCAGCTAAAGAAAGTCAATTATGTATTATTTCACTTTCTGAATTACTGAGCAATTAGGTTATACTTCCATTTCATCATCCTTTCTGCAGTTTCCTCTTCATCTTTGAACACAAAAAAACCTTCAAAACACCAAGAACCCCACCCAAGTTAAGTAGAAATGAATGTCTTCATGTCAAAGATTTAAACTAGTGAGAAGAATACATGCAAGTTGCAATGAATTATGAAAAGTGTGAGTTAAAACAGCAGGTACTTTAATACTGTGTCAGTGTTGGATTTCTTAAAAATTATGGATAGCAAAAAGCTGTAGTCAAACTTCCTACTCCTAATAAATTTGTAGTTCTGTATTTTCAGGTGTTTAAAAACACACATATTCTGGTATCTGTTTTGGGAAAGGAATCCTCTGCAGTCTCTCAGGAAAGGTGCATCCCTTAGCAGTGAAGTGAAGGGAGTCTTTGTATGAGGGAAGGCAACTGATACACAACTTCTAGTCTCTGCTAATAGGGACACTTTGGGCAAACTAGGATATAATTTATTATTTAAGTATGATAACATGCTAAGGAACAACAAATCTAATACTACTGTAAGTTACACTACTGAAAAAATCATGGTATATAATCTGCCTTTATTTTGCAATCACAAGCACTTGTAAAATAGTCATTAACAGTATTAATGGGGATAGCAGAAATCTACTGTATTTTGAATATTTATTCTTGCTGTTTAAAAACATAACCATGACAATGATATTTACATATGAAGCATTTAAAAAGTGATTACTCTGATTTTCTGTAATTATGATAATTTGTATTTTGTTAAATTTATTTGGGATACTGTAGATATTATGTGAAAAATACAATATTTTGTTCCAGTTTTCATTATTGCTGTAATTACTTGCAATCTGAGGGGCATTTACATACCAAACAGACATCACTTTACAAAGGAAAACATTTAATGAGACTTCTTAAAGAAATCTGACGTATTCTTTATAGACAAATGTGTGCATTGTAATTATTAACAAAAACATCGCTTAAGGTATATATTGTCTCATAGCTTTTAATTTTTCTTTAAAATTCCGGAAATGGTTAATTTTTTCAGAGCAACTTGTGAATCTCTTAAACTTTGGGAAACTGTCACGTTCCTTTTCCCTCATGGGCTCTGCAGGAATATATACTGCTTCATGGCAGTTCTCTGATACTAGCTGTGCCTCTAATTAAGTAGTCTAGTCTGAAGCTGAGACACTCCTACACCATTTGATTACGTTAACAGAAACTCAGCATTCCTAGCAAAAAAGCACCTTGAACTAGATCCCTTTCTGATACATTAATTGCTGTCATTGATTATGTTGCATTATATTTGGTATCATCTGTTTAAGTCATATGGTAAGCTCAATCAGGCTTATTCTTTCTTTCTATTAAAATGCACTGGACTGTATTCCTTAGCATGCTTGTGTGTGTGTGTGTTTTAATTGTAATTGGCAGGCAATAATAATACGCAACCTAATTATTTCTTCAGGATAATGTTGTATTTGACATATTCCTGTGAATTATAATGGTTTCGGAGTGATAGTTCAGGTATCACTGTAGAAATCAATATTTTTCTATAGAAATACCTTATATTTCTATAGAGGTGTCTGGAAGATAAGGGAATTAATTTGTAAGTGTAGGCTTAGTAATAGAAGATCTTCATTCTCCAGTGTATATCAAGATGCTGTAGGAGTGCTGCTTATGGATAGACTATCTTTTGCCTTATGATACAAGTATGTATGCATAATACCTTGTTTTGAAATTCACTGAGTTATAATTTTTTCTCTGTAGTGTTCTAAATTATTGTTGTACTGGATATATTTTTTGAAATGTGTGTTAAAATATTTAGTCAAATGAGTTAAGTTGGCATGAAATAAATCATTTCTGCAATACATTTTTCCTGGTGTATTTTAGATATTCATACTTCTCTGAAGTGTTTCTGGTAGTGATCTTTTGGAGAAATTCGACCTATTTCTTTTTTTCCGGTAGAAATTAAGTTTCCTTTAGAAGAAAATCCAGCCTTGCTTTGGTCATCTTTTTTGCACCTTCTTTAAAGCAGATTAAAAAGGGTACAGAAGTCCATCTTCTGGATGTCATAAATCAAAAAGCCATACCCTGGAGCAAGTAATAAATCATCCTTTTAGCGCATCGGAATATGCTAAATTCCTGTTGATTCCTGTATTTGTAGTCTCCTGCGCTTAATCTGTGACGGCTGTTTCACCGGAGTTGCAGGAAGCACTTTGCAGGCTGGAGAGCAGTCTGTGCCGTCACTGCAGTGGGATGTCTCGGTGCTGTGAGAAAAGACTTCTCCTGTCACACCTCGTCTGGGACCTCCCTGTTCCGCTGCACCACCAAGCCTCTCCTGGGGACCTTTCTGTTAGGCATTTTTAATGTATGTGGGTTCAGAATAATGTAGTGAATGGGTGACGCGTGCAGGTGTTGAGAAGGGTCAGTAACAGAAAGTGCAGTGAACTGCACTGAGCCCTCTGTCATAATGCAGGGGATGGCGTCTCCTCTCCTCACAGGAGAAGATGCAGGAGTAGCAGAATGATCTTCTGTGTGTGGTGGTAGTTTTGTCCCAGAGGTGGTTTGGCTGTTGAAGGGAGTAGCTCTCAGCACAGTTAACCCGCTGCGCTCTTCCTCCAGGCTACTGAGAGCCCAACGGGACGTCCTTCGAGGAGGGGAGTTGTCCTGCATTAAATACTAACTTTCCATTGTTATGGAAAGATTCCATTAGATGTCAGATTTTCACTTGCTGAGAGAGCAATATAAATTCTGTTGATTAATTGTCAGCAGCTGCTACTGGAACAAACCTTGTGTGCTCAGTGAATTTTACGTCTTCCAAAATAGCATTTGACTGACACTTGAATTGTCAGGGTTGTGAATTAACCTGGCTCTGCTCTT